ACACGTGAGCAGTACTCGAGGCTAGGTATTATTTGGGCCTTGTACAGAATGAGGAGGTCATGTGGAGAAAAGTAAACAAAGAGCCAATCTTCTTTCCAGTAAGTGTCTTTATTGACGAGATGCGTTCGTGCCAGTCCTCGGTGATTTTGACTCCGACCAGCCGAAATGTCTCCTGTGAACTAATAGGTTGTTTTTATGCTTACTGCCATGTATGCTGTCAAAACTTCGTGGAAATATACGGTGTTGTTCAACATTTATTTAAGAAAAACTCGTTTCCAGTGGCGGGCTGCAAAGGCCTACATCCGAAGCAAAGCGGTATTCCGAAAATCACCAGAAGACGAAACAACCTTAGAAGAATCCAATGACACCCTTTTTTATATACAACCACCACGCAGGCCTAATGCCTTAACACCCATGGGGTGCCGTGGGGCTATAGGGGGATACAGGGGAAATATTTGACCCATATTTTGGAAATATCCTATTTAATTCGGGCACCATAGGGAGTTTAGCTCCTGCCCACGAATGTGTGATTTGGTAAAGTGGTTGACGGGAGTAACAACTCAAGTATCGCTGTTATGCGTTAAGCCACAACCTACTGTTGCGATTTACACTCACAGCAAAAATTGAATCATCTATAACATAATGCATATACATACATACGAGTACATCAGTGTAAGTTACTTACCAGTGCGTTCTGAGGCTCAGTCAGAATTTTCACAAGGGCATCTTTATTTAATGAATGGAAAGGAACCAGAACAGGAAACCTCCCGACGAACTCTGGTATCATCCCAAAATCAATGAGATCTCTCGCTTCAACCTGTCTCAGCGCCGCATCCTTTTCTTTGTTGTCTTCATCTGCAGATCGGGATGAAGAATGCTGATTGGCTTCTTCAGCAACAGCTCTTCTTCCTTTGCCCAATGACGACGGCACTCCGAAACCTAAACTGTTCTCATTATTACGTCTTTGTATAAGCCTCTCCAGTCCATTGTATGCACCGCTGGCGACAAACAGAACATTTGTTGTATCGACTTGGATTGTTTCACCTCTCAACTTTCTAGGGGAATGTCGTTCTGGTACATTTACCACTGTGCCTTCCAGCATTTTGAGCATGCCCTGTTGTACTCCTTCACCTCCGACATCTCTGAGTTGATGTATTCCCGGCACGGCTCCGATTTTGTCTACTTCGTCCAGAAACACGATCCCTACTTGAGCTCTTTCCACGCTGTACTCTGCGTCTTGCAGCAACTTTGAGATAACGCTCTCGATATCTTCCCCCACATATCCGGCTTGTGTCAACGTCGTGCAATCACAAATAGCGAACGGTACGTCGAGGCACTGAGCTATAGTTTGAGCAAGTAGTGTTTTGCCTGATCCTGTAGGGCCTAACATCAAAATATTGCTTTTCTCTAGCTTCAAATCATGAGTTGTCCGTTCTAGAATATCTGAACCCGTAGATGGTTGGGACTTAACTGTGGTTCCGGTGTTCTCGAAAGGAGAGGTGAAGTTCATACTAGAGCTACCGTGTCCAGCCATACGATACGGATCTCTAATACCGGGTTCCATGACCGTAATATCTGGCTTCGGGGTTGGATTTCGATTGGGCAGATTATTGAAAATTCTCTTATAATGATTGTAGACTGCGACGGATAAAACTTTTTTAGAAAACTCTTGGCCCACCACGTGCTTATTCAAATAGTCGTAGATCTTCTTCGGCGGAGGTGGAGCTTGTTTATACTTCCCAGTCTTCGCATCCACCCCTTCTTTCTTACGGTTATCCAATTTACTCAGAACTACAAAGAAATGATTGCATTTCTCGCATTTTACAAATCTAGTGCTACCGACGAAAGTTTCGACATGTGTACATTGATCTCCGCACTTCGGACAAGCCAAGGCTGATCCTTTGCCTCCAGGTGGCGGTTTCCGATTTTTAGTTGTACCTCCGTGTCTTGTGTCACCAGCTCCTATAGCATTCAAAACCATAACGCTTGTGGCGATTCCCTGACAGCCATAGTTATTGTGTCTTTGAGGCTTGAAATATGCAGCTGCTAGTATCCCTTGTTGCTGTTTAGAAGATTTGTAAACGATATGCGCAAATTTTGCATCATTACGTAAGCAACAACGCACTGATGAAAACAACATTGTTCAAAAACTCTTGAAAGAATATTACTAGATGTGCTAAGTCCTTGATATTTTCTAGAGTCGGTGGTATAGCTGTATTTCCTTATGGTTCATTAGCCGTGTTTTTCCTATATAAAACCACTTTCTATCGTAGGAACTGGCGTTATGTTTCATGATGCAGGTACAGCAAACTGTTTGGTTTGGACATACAAATACTAGCTTTGTTCAGAAGTCATCACTTGAACTACACATATGTAAATAAATATTAGTTTTTTGCCTTTGCACTGAAAATTTTGTTTTTGATGGTTATATTTGGCGTATGTCAAATGGCACGTGCGAGTCATACAGGGTATTATCAAATAAATATCACCATTTAAAATCAGTCCTCAAATTTGAAGGTCGAGAATACCGAGTTTTGCCTATTGGAAAAGAAAGCACAAGGAGTTCTAGAATGTAAGTGTAAGGGGACATTTTGGTTCAAGCACTTCAAAATAAGATATAACATAGAAAAATCGTATAGTACTTCAAAATTCAAGATACCGTCACTTCTGCGGACGTTTTCACCCGCAGCAAACATATATTCCGTATAACACCTTGTTTTTTCAGATTTAGCGCCGATGCTGATAATCGCAGCCAATATTATTGGTCGATTAAATCCAAACAGTAAATACTAGGTTAAAAAGCGACAGAGTATAGCGATTAGCTTGAATTTGGTAGACCTGAATTTACCGTATTTAAACTTGCACCAATTTCTGAACCATTCGTACACTTCATTGAAAATACTGGGGATTTCAGTATGAAATATTCAGACTCATCATGATAAGCTCACCTCTTCCTGTAGTAACTTGATCTCCTTCCTCAGGTCATTAATTATACTATCCCTAAAGGCGACTTGTTCGTCGGCATGGATTACTTTTTCTTCTAACATTTTACAATCCTCTTTCAGCTGCGTAAGGTGATTATTTTTAAAAGTATCTTCTTCATCAAACGTTTTTTGCATCTCCTCCATCCTCTACAACAAGAAACAATTAGGTTAATGCAATTACTATAATTTAAGCATACTACCCTTGTCTAATAACGTGACTGATTTGAGCTCGACCATTCAGTCTATCACTACCACCAATTCAGTGTGCACTATGTAAGAACAAGGTTTTAAGGAACTGGTGAGAGATAACTTTTAACAAAATTTAATGCAAACAATTACCGCATGTCATGTACAGGCTGTTCCACGCAGAATCGCAGCAATCAATTGCTAGAAAAGTTACTCTTAAATAATTGTGAAGATATGGGGTTACGGCCTAATTGACGGGAGTAATTCGGCTAAGATGTATCAAAATGGAGGGACTTCCAGTTGTGGCACATGGTGTGTACTAACTTGCTCATTTTAAATTGCACACTTTGCATTTTATTCAATTTTTCGATTCCACGCATGATTCTTAACAGATTTTATGTATAACGTAGTATAAATAGGCCTTTTCACGTTTTTTGGCAGGCAACAGTGAAACCACAGCTGGTTTGACAGTTGTTCAGTTTCTCGGTTATCACTTTGACGTTTGGTGCACATACTTCCTATACCTGAATTGTGATACTTTTTCGACAAGGGAGAAAAGCTCGATAGATGCCTTCTGTCGGCCTTTGCTGTCCGAATTGTAAGATTCTCCAAAATACTGATTACTAAAATAGCTCAGTACCCCTCAATCCCCTCATGGCAGCATAGCAAAGGTATTTGTCTCATTCCGTTTCCTCCTTTCATACATACACATGTATGGTGCATTCCCAGCAGCGGGAAACATATTGTTGGTTTCCCTTTCTGTTTTTCTCGTTACATACTTTGCTCATCATGCGCTTCACTATTGGTTGAATTTCACCCCATATAAAAACGCTTTTTTAATAAATAGTAAATTTATATTCTACGGTTATAAAGAATAAAATGAGGTATTGCATGACCCCCATTCCATTAAAATAATAGACCCATAACGTCTACACTACCCCACCGCTGCTGCCTACTTCTCAAAAGCACTGTATATGATGTACGCAACACTAGCCCAACTTGGTTTCACTCCCGTTTGGGTTTTTGACAAGCAGTTTTAATTTGCCGAGTAGCCAACAAGGCTAGTTAGTCTTTGTCTCGAAAATCGGTTTTTGGCTTATTTGAAATCGTACTATAAGTCCTGTACTTGAGTATTTTAAAAGTCTACCTAAAACTACATACCTTGCGATTATTTATAAAAAACCAGTATAGTTTTTTAAGAGTTTAAAATTGGGCGGAACCATAGAAATAACCACAAAATAGGTTTCAAAAGTTATTTTTTACTTAACGTAGAGTAATGAGGTTCTAACTGTTTATACACGTTATCGAACCATAAATTTGTACTGTACACTATTAAGTGACTTCTTGGAAATAGAAAATGTTTCGAACCACCTATCAATTTTAACTGGCATATAAAGTGCAACCGTTTGTTGCTCTAATTGGCCGACATCCTAAATGTTTTAAAGTTTAATGTTCCCAACATTACAAGCTGAGTTAGATTGCATTTGTTTCAAATACTCTTCAACTCCCATAGTTATTTTTGATTTTAGACTATTAATTGAATAAGAGTGATATGTGAATCCTACAAGTCTTATTTCAAAGCAATATATCCATCGTTCGTTATTTTAATGTAAAGATTACTGCTCATAGCCCTTTTAAGCCTGCCCAAAAATTCTAACATGAGTCTCTCATAGCTCAAAAATGAAGTGAAAACACACAAAATGTTGGGAATATTAATAAATTATCATGAACTTCCACCTGACACACAGCTGAAATAAATTGGTGATACATTGAAACGCAGGTGAAAGACTAATGAGGATCACGGTAAATTACAAAGTATGAAATATTTACCTTTTGTAAGACTTCACATTCCTGTATCTTCTTTCCTAGATCCCTAGCGATACGTGGAATATCACCAAATGACTTCAGATGGTCTAGAGACGTATGTAGCTCTTTTATCTTACTATAATAGTACATAAATCAATATAGAAACTATATAACTACTACATCTTGTTACCTTTCTTGAGCTGCCAACTTTCCATTTGCCTGTAAAATAAAATATAGATTATAAACTAAAATTGTCACGAAAGTGCTCAAGCATGCAGAAAAAGGTGGAAAGCTCCAAGCACATAATGTATGATTATTTTATAAAATAGTTGCACAAGCAAAGTAAAAATGTAAAGCAAAACCAAATTAATCCAAATAAAACCCAGTAATTACAACCACCGTTTATTTCACATGCATAATAATTATTTCATACCTCAGTAGTGGTATTACTAAATGGGATCCTGAAATATAAAATACTGTTAATACTTTCTGTCTCAGACATTTAATGTATCTAATGTACCCAGCCTTCCGAGTAAGAATAAGATATAAATTAATACGTCTATACATGGACAACACAAAGACGGGCTACATAAGTGGATCTAGTATGTGAACAGGCAGCATAAGTATGTTATAGTAACAATTTACGTCTGGGACAATACCTTCCAACGTTAGGTTGAATTTTCATCAAATCCTCATCAGGATCTATGTGAAAAAACTTCAAACCATTCAGATCCCATCGATTATTTTCTCTTGCTCTCCTGATAAACTCCAACAGATTTTGTTGGTCATTTTCTAGATGGAACATCTTTCTTAAAGGTACTTCAAGAATTTCATTTGTAAAATCATACTCCCGATATTTTTTGATTACCTGAAATATGTCTCCTATTTAGCTACCCAATCATTTTAGGGTGATAGCACTTACGAATGGCATTTCAGCTTCATTGTAATAAAGACTCTTCAGATATGGAATTTTAAAGCATCATCTTCATTTGCGAAAGTTTCATGTATCAACTGACTAAAATTCTAATGTTTAACTAATGGAACTGTACGAAGCGGTCCGTTTGTACGAGGATAAAACAGACTCGTTCGCATATTGTTTGGTCGTGTATCTTTCACTAATACATAAATCTTTCTAAGCAAGATAAAAGGTGTTACAAAATTGAAAAAAGTTAGGCCATACTTAAAAATTCAATGTTTTCTAACATACACCCGTTCAAGTAAGTTTTCATAAGCTATAGAATTTTCTGCTTATTTAAGGTACTGGGCTAAACAATGGTTACGACTATGAACATCAAAGCCTCTTGAAGTTTCAAAAATCAATCGCGAGAAGAAACCGCCAGTGCGTATGCTTGAACTGATTGATACATTTCAAACAAACGCGAGTAAACACCGTTTGTAAATGATTGAATATTGCAGCATATTCTAGCAATTAGCACCAAGAAAAGGATGAATGCATGTGAAATTGAGTCTTTGCTGAACATTAGATTTTATGAATTAACGATTTATGTTTAAAATACTCCTCTAACTTAAAAACGATATCCAAATAGGTTCACTTATTTTTCCGATTTTCAAAAAAAAGGAAGCTGAATAAAAAGGCTGTTTAGGCAAGTACTCACCTCATTCAGACATTTTGCACTGCTTTGCAGTTTCTGTTCTAACATGTGTACCCTCTCAGCTGCCTCTCTCTCTAGGTCTTCTACAGCCCTCACCAGCATTTCGTTTTGGCATGTTAGGTCTCCAATCCATTCTTGCTGCAGCCTCACTTTTTCCTTTAAAAATAAATACCCACAGTGGCTTAACGGGTACTAACAGTTGTTGTTAAAATTGTTTATACAGTCGGCAAATGATAAAAACAATCAATTTTCCGTTTAAACGGAATTTCTTATTCTTGAACATGACACCAACCTTCCTATTTCTCAACTACAGAAAAGTAAATCCCATAAACTGCGGCTATGTGCAGAATGTATAATTTTATAATTTCAGACTAGCATGATTCTATTTAATGACTGATAACCTCAACTCAATTAAAATGAGCGAGAGTTTATAATATCTACTTAAAATTTCACACGGCGCGTTTATAGGTCGCCTATTGAATGACATAGAACATTTCAGCCGCATATAGAGGCCTGTGAAAGCACCACCAGGGCACACTTTCGCAAAGAGCAGGAATTGGTGCTTTAATCTTTCATGTGGCGAATTTTATGCGGCATAAACAAAACAGCACAAAAAGCGTTCAATGAAAATTCATTTTTTCGATATCAAGTTGACCTAAAAGATAAAAGCTTGTCATTAGGAAAAATTTGAATTACAAAGTGACAATTCTCTCTCGATACTGAACTAAATCGTGTAATCGGGTAAAAGGCATCAGTGGAAAGTGTAACTTACAACTTCATGAAAGCAGCAGTTATTCGTGAAACATGTTGCCCCTAGGTAATCAGCTTTTAGGACTCTTCGCGGGAAATTCCACGATTTAATTTAGTATTGAAAGAAAATTATCAAGAAACGGCCCTTGAAGAGGCAGAAGTTGAAAAGAGTGAAATAGCTCACGCATCAAAATAGACATCTAAGCAGCAGGACTCTGCAGACTTATTTTCATGAAACGTAATTCGCGAAATCCGGGAAAATGGTGTTTGTAACTTTATTCATGAAAGAAATTTGCGCCTTGAAAAACCTTGGTATCTATAAAGACCCTTAGTGTAGTCAAACTAAGGTAGATTTAAATTAACACTTCAAACGTGAAATACTGTTGCAGGACACCCTTTTCCCAGGTATAAGTACAACCCGATGCTGTGAAATTGGGATTCATGAAATTATGTAAACACAGTTGTGTAACATCTTTGTGTTTATGTGGAACGAAACACGAGAATGAAAACGCCTAAACAGAGATAGAGATGAGGGATGATTCACAATGTAAAATCAATTTCAATTTGATTAGTCATAATTTCAGTAATGAGAATGCTTTCTAACAACAGTTCAACAAGTTGATTTTCAATAATTGGTCATCTTTTTCAAGTCACACAATATGTTGTTTCTTATTGCGGAGTCTACAATGAAGGTTATTATGAAATAAGCAATGAGATCTAAGCTAATATAGATAGCATTCAAGATTACCTAGTAAGGGTGAAACTTTGCATATCAGCATAAATTTATCAAAATTAGAACTTTTATATCCAGAAACTCAAATGGCTAATGATTGTAATGTGCAAAGAAAATAATCACCTTCTACATGAAAGTTGCTACAGGACAGTGTGTGGAAATAATGGGATAAATAAAAACTTTCAACAACAACTTTAGTCGTAAAATAAACTGTTTTTATGAGTAAACAACAATCAATGTTTGAAGTGGACAAGGAATAAGCAGTAACATTATTTATAATATCACTAAAACCTATATTGGAATTCATGATCATTTGAAACCTCAAAAAAATATTCAAATCTGAATATTACAATGGAAGTTATAATTTTGCTCAGGTATAATGATCTAGCCCAGTATATTTATTATGTATAACTATTTACCTTTATACTATGGTAACTAACTTTGTATCTATATCTAAATTTGCATACTTTCTTACATCTAAGATAGATTAATTTTTAACAATTTTGTAGCAGTAATATTTTTCCTTGTTCTTGATTTGCACTCTTCTATTCATGTATTTACAAGTAAAGGGTCAAGTAGAGAACATCATGTGAAACTTTGCACAAATAAATGCTATATTATTATCATTTTATAGTATTATTTAATTTTTGCATTACACGAATTGCTTTCTCCTTTTATGAATGGTCGCACTCACTAGCATTCATTGGCTAAACTGTCCATAAGTCTCTATGCAGAAGCTGAGTAGTTGTTGTGATATTAATGCTACATGCATTATTTTACATCAATCTGTTAATCAAGCACCGGTGATGTGTGATCAGCGCTCTTAGCATATTCTAATAAAATCATTATAGGAAACCACTACAAATTGCCAAAAATATTTGCACAATATCATAGCAGAATAAATATAAGCCACCTGAAGGCAATCTCCACCTCCACTTGCATCAATCTCCTGTAGTTTCTCTTCATACAGCCTCTTAAATTCATGAACTATATCCAAAGTTCGTGTTTCTCCGCAAATACCGTTGCCTATGGGTACTTGGCATCCATCAGGACCAAACGGTGTTCCACTTTGGTTTAAAGCGGGATTCAGCGTACACATTTTAGTAACTTAAAGAAAAAACGTGAAATTTATATTATTCATGAATATCAATAAAGTGTATAACAATTTGTAAAGTCTGGGTTTTCAGTTTGACGTTTCCGTTCACAGCCATCTCCAAAAATATATAAATACATATAACCTTTTTGGCCAGTGGCGGAGATAAATTGGTTATTGTTGAGTATTCATGATTTTAAAAAGGACCTGTTAAAATGCTTACCTTATCTGGCTCGATGCATAGGCATCTTTAGCAAATTGTGACTCTGCGATTATTGTTGGAGCAAAATACTCAAAAAAACAGCGTGAGAAAGGAGAGTGAGACTGCGCCGCCACTGCCGTCAAGGAGTGATGACTGGAGAGGTTTTTTAGCACGTGTTGTAATGTCATCTGTCACTTGTGGGTTACTTAACCTCAAATTTTGTTTTGTAATTGGAATTAGTGTTTTGCTTTTGATCTAGTACGAGTATTGCAGTGGTTTTACAGTTTTCACTCACTATTACTCATGAGTCCAACGTAGCAATTTCATATTCAGCTTGCACTATTTATGGAAAGTTAAGTTGAAGCTAGAAGTTAACTCAAGAATGGCTGAACAATCCTTCCAAGACTTAAAACTGGACTCTTGGATTTTAAAGCAATGCACAGCAATAGGTAGGGCTGAACTATACTTCGGCGCATATCGCAAATATTTCATTTCTTATTTTTTCTATAACAGTTTACCTTTAGCATCAAAGGATATTTTGTTTCCAGGAGTTAAACATCCTACTTCAATTCAGGCCAGTTGTATACCAAAAATCTTAGCTGGCAAAGATTGTATAGGTGCTGCTAAAACAGGTAGTGGTAAAACATTGGCATTTGCATTACCTATTATCCAGAAATTATCCGAAGATCCCTATGGAATATTTGGATTGATTTTGACTCCAACAAGAGAACTGGCATTCCAAATTGCTGATCAATTTGCAGTTATCGGAAAGCCCATAAATCTAAAGATATGTGTTATTGTTGGAGGTAAGTTCTTTTTTAAGCCATATATTTCTTCAATTGAGCAGGGGTGATCGTATTACCCCTAAATATCGCTTCAACCGCAAGTTCATTGTGGAGTACCCAACGAGGGAGGAGTGGGACGCCGGTAGCCGAGGACTCTCCGAAGTGAGCGGGCAGGTCTGGTACACGGACGGCTCGGTCACCGAAGAGGGCTCAGGTGCTGGGGTCTCTGGACCTAGAACTAGGCTATCTCTGCCTCTCGGTGAGTACACCACCATTTTCCAGGCGGAAATCTTTGCGATTCTGGCTTGTGTATCTCACATTCTGGAGGAGGGTGGGCCTAGGAGAAGAATAACAATCTTATCCGACAGCCAGGCTGCAATGAAAGCACTAAGTGCATGTAAGATTACTTCGAGTCTTGTATTGCAATGCAGGGAGGCTCTGGATTGCCTCGCAGCGAGGCATCCGGTATCGTTAATATGGGTACCGGGGCACGCTGGGATAAGGGGCAATGAGACGGCGGACACTCTGGCGAAAACAGGATCAGCCAGCAAGCTCGTTGGTCCTGAGCCAGCTCTAGGAGTAACCGCGCATAAAGCTAGGAGGAAAATGGAGACGTGGGTTGCAAGACAACACTCTCAGAAATGGAGAAGTATCTCTAGACATCTCCGCCAGGCACGAGAGCTCATTGAAGGGCCCAGTGCTAAGGATGGACGCTTCTGCCTATCTCTGGGTAGAGCCAACCTAAGGTTGCTGGTGGGACTGTTGTCTGGCCATAACACGTTAAGGCGGCACCTGCACGTGATGGGGGTGGCTGAGGATCCCTTATGCGAACGCTGCGGAGTAGAGGAAGAGACCTCGGCGCACGTTTTGTGTCGCTGTGAAGCTCTTAGCTACTATAGGCAGACTATACTGGGGTCCATTACTTTGGACCCTCAGGACGTAAAGGAGCTTGGACTCAAGGCGATTCTCAACTTCGCTAAAAGGGCGAGGCTTGTGATTTAAGTATTGTAGAGGTGCATAAGGGCCCGCTTAAGCGGCCTATGCACTGGCTCCTTATGGTGGCCGGGATGCCTCTAAAATTCAAGATTCATTCATTCTTCAATTGAAACAATATCGAATCCTTAAAATACCATAAAAGCGTACATCCTTTAGGGGGAAGGTAAGGAAAAAAGAAGTTGAATTCTTCCTCTATGTTTCTTTACCTTCAATCAAATAAAAACCTGTACACTGCACAGCAAACTATGTAAATGATTGGAAAACCATTTTGATTCTTCCAGTAGCCTATCCCAATGTATACTGTAAATTCTTCTATGCTCAATTGGAATAATTCTGGGATAGTTCCTTGTTTTACCAGCAGTAGTTGCTGAAAAGCTGATTTACAAGTTCAGTTTCTTATAGTAGCAGATTAAAAGCACCTATTGCAGGTGAAATTAATTTTTAAATCATAAGCTCTCTTGAAGGAAGGCATTTATGCTACTTTTTTATGTGGAAAATGCTCTTGTTTGCAGATGTTATTCATATTTATTTATATGCTAACTTTAGTACAATGGTAAACTTGTTTTGATCTGATTCTCTCGAATCCTCAAAGTTAAGTCCTGTCCTGTTCTTGATGTTCTACTTGTAAATGAAGTATCCTAAATCTCACAGCGAGGCATCCGGTATCGTTAATATGGGTACCGGGGCACACTGGGATAAGGGGTAATGAGACGGCGGCAATCTGGCAAAGACAGGATCAGCCAGCAAGCTCGTTGGTCCTGAGCCAGCTCTAGGAGTGACCGCGTATAAAGCTAGGAGAAAAATAGCGACGTGGGTTGCAAGACAACACTCTCAGAAATGGAGAAGTATCTCCAGACATCGCCAGGCACGGGAACTCATTGAAGGGCCCAGTGCTTCCGATGGATGCTTCTGCCCATCTCTGGATAGAGCCAACCTAAGGTTGCTGGTGGGACTGTTGTCTGGCCATAACACGTTAGGGCGTCACCTGCACGTGATGGGGATGGCTGAGGATCCCTTGTGTGAACGCTGCGGGGTAGAGGAAGAGACCTCGGCGCACGTTTTGTGTCGCTGTGAAGCTCTGAGCTACTATAGGCAGACTATACTGGGGTCCATCACTTTGGACCCTCAAGATGTCAAAAAGCTTGGACTCGAGTCGATTCTCAACTTTGCTAAAAGGGCGAGGCTTGTAATCTAAGGATTGTAGAGGTGCATAAGGGCCCACTTAAGCGGCCTATGCACTGGCTCCTTATGGTGGCCGGAATGCCTCTAATTTCAAGATTCATTCATTCATCCTAAATAAGGGCATTTTCGAATTTGAAATAGGTTGAGAATTGTCACAATTAATTGTATATCAAAATTCTTGGATCTTTGAGACTTGGTTCATATGTGCTTCTGAAGATTTTGACCACATTTTCTTTCTGGTGCATATTTTCCCTAAGCTACACTTAAACTAATTCTATACATTCCTGTTTCCTATTCCCAAATTATATATCTCTTACTGTTTGTCGAATTTATATAGTTATTTTTGTAATAGATGTTACTTGTGGTGTTTTATTTGTATCAACTTCATACCTTAGATAGAGCTGTTCATGGTTGGTCAGACAAATGAAATGAGTATTATTGATATGTGAATGTGTATACTTTATTAACTCATATTTTCAGTCAAAAACGCTGTAAAAAACTAAGTATTCTACCCTGTGACTGGCTGCATGTCACAAAGACAATAAAAAATTAAGTATTTTGCTTGTCTTGTCAGATTCATAATTAATTAAAAAATGATGATAATATTCCCTCAATTAGGTATGGATATGGTAGAACAAGGCATTCAGCTGTCAAAGAGGCCACACATAGTGGTTGCAACACCTGGCCGTTTGGCGGATCACTTGGAAAGCTGCAATACTTTTTCATTGTCCAAGATACAGTTTTTGGTGCTAGATGAGGCTGATAGATTGTTGAGTGGGCAGTTTGATGATCACATCAAAACCATATTCAAGGTTCTACCAAGACAGAGACAGAATTTGTTCTTTTCTGCTACTATAACTGACGCTTTGGAAAAACTAAAAGAGGTAGTTGAAGACACTCATACTTTATATATAGAAACTATATTATATTCTTTGCTAGGTGACAAAAACTGAAGTATTCATGTACGAGGCACCATCACAAACCGATGCAGCCACTGTAGAAGAATTGGATCAACAATATGTTCTTTGTCCAAAAGATGTTAAAGATGCATATCTTGTGCAAGCAATCAGAGAGTTCAGAGGAACAGATGCAAAAGGAAACATAATTATATTTACCAACACATGCAGGTGAGTTGAACAAGTGTAACCCCAAATTCCTAAGCAAATTAAATGTTTTTTTTTTATATTCTCATTCATAAAGTAAAGTATGTCTTACAAAATTCTACTATCAGCTCAAAAAACAAAGTGGGAAATAAAAAATGTTCTTCAGCTTGTGTATTCAATTATTACAATTGATGGAATTGATAAATTATTTCATGTTCCATTCAGCATTTTGTAGATTAGAGAGTGTTGGCTGTTACAAATATGGAATTACATAAATGTAATGGATAATCTATAATTCATTAACTTCTTGTGATTGCTATTGCTCTCTATTGTTTTAACAAGGGACATCCAATGCAGGCATCTCTTCAAGAGCTCCCAATGAGCCTGCCCTAATTTGGAGCACAAAAAACCCATTTCTGCAGATATTGTCCCTTTAATGTATTATTATTAAATTATTATTTTAATGAATTTGGCTTAATGATACATGAGAGTCAGTGCATGTCATTAAATTAATAATTGCAGCAACGAAAAGCATGACAATATTTGTGAGCATACCCAGCACACTTAAATGTTTCAAGGCTATGAATGTGATATCCTGACACTTGTCATTAATTTTGCCAACTATTTTCTCCTCCTGGTACTCTATGCAGCATCTACACGGAATTAGCTAGTAATTTATCGGATGAATATAGTATACAAAGAAATAATGTCACAGGTTCCTATGAAAACATTACTCAGGGGCTCCCCGATGGAGGTGCAGGCCACTTACAAGACTTTACTGGGAATCCAATTTTCATTATAACTTTTAAATGAGTGTATTATTATTCAGCAAATTAATTCATGAGAGTGTCTATAGAAAACAATCGACATATTCGTCGTCAAGGATGGACTGATCCCAACCAAATATTTCCAATATTTTATTTTCAAATATTGACAACAATGAAATTTTTGGAAAGTCATTGTTAGGCTGAAAATGATGTGTTCATGTTCGACATCTACAAAATAAGCCATTTTTGAGAAAAATACTCTTTATTCCAGTACAGTTCTATTATACTTGGTCAAGTATACTGATTCCGCCACCTTGAATACATAGTAATTCTTATAATGAATTTGGATTCAGCAACCCGAAAAAACCCAAGTTTTACATTTTTATATCGCTAATTTAAGTTCTTCGTCGAAGTATTTCTATCAAAAATGATTTTACCGATTCCAATCTAGAGTACATTATTTTCAGCTTAATGATCAGGGTTCCCAAAAATGTATTACGTCACTGGCGATTTCAAAAAAGCTAATTGCCTTCCAAGACCACCATCATATAAGGCACCATTTGGTTAAAAATATGACAAAATTTAGTTTAATCACCATCTTTTCGCCATGTGGTTTTACCTATCCAAAAATATAAGTGGCGTCGCTAATAAAATAACTATACTTCTCAAGCATTCAAGTTGGTTGTCAACTTATGTACTAATGCTAACAAAGTTACAAAACGTGAGTGAATGCCTAGCTGTTGCCGGCTCGATGGTAGCGGTGGAGATTTTGCTACTTGCCGCGACAGTTGAGTATTGTAAAATATCGTTGCAAAATCGAGTTCGCGGATAAAACCAAACCTATAACCTTCCTCGTTTAGTAAGTGTATAAATCTTTATGTCTCCGTATTGAACTTGTATTAATTTTATTTGTGATTTCTGTATGCATACGAGATATTTCCATTTTATTCTGGGATACCTTGTATAATAAAATTACTGGTGTTTGATGTGTATTTTGAATTATAAACTCACAGACCATGAACCCTGAGAATTTCGTCTTATTACAGGACATGCCACGTACTTTCAATGACTCTAAATGAAGTTGGATTTGAAAATGTGGCATTACACGGCATGATACCGCAAATCCAAAGGTTGACAGCTCTTGCAAGATTTAAAAGCAACACAGTTAGGATACTTATAGCTACAGATGTAGCTAGTAGAGGCTTAGATATACCTACAGTTGCTCTGGTGATAAATCATACTCTTCCAAAGGTAAGCTAAATGAATAAATTACAAGGTTTGCTGTTTGCAAAACTGGTGTCGACGTAATGATTGCACTTAGACTTATCCATAAGCAGATATAAGAACTAAATCGAGTATACTGCTTCGAAAATGTAGGTAGTACATAAACGAAAACTATATTCTATCGGCATTTTTTGTGGCCTAAAGAGTTCAGTACCAACAGTTCTACGGTTCATTATATTTCAAACTAAAACGTATTTCTTGAACAAACCCAATTCGTTTTTTTATTTTAAGGACATTATACGATAATATACATACACTTTGTTCCGATTTTGGCAATAGTTGCAGAAATCTTTTTTCTCAAAGAAGCATACTTCAATGTAGGAAATAGGTATTTTCACCGATATTGGAGGGTCACTGTAACACTGGCTCTATCACATTCATATCTCCATCTATTTCACGCATACATATGCGGATTATTCGAATGTTTGTGTAAACTCATAACTGATTGTCAGTTAGTATGACGACTTACTGTTGATCTTCAATGCAAAATGCAGCATTGGAAATAATGCTAGTCGTCGATGCCGTCAGTGTATTCTAAATTGTCTGGAGAATTTCCTGACCAAGAACACGATAGTATTTTACTCCTTGTTTCAAGAGCGAGCAGCATTATCTTCAAAAATCAGGTTGTCTGTTGTATAATTTTCGGTAGCTAAGAAGGTTAAGCTCCATGCATAGTACATTTAGTCGATCTGTGTATTTATACTAAAGAAGCAATCAATACGTAATCTCCAAAATGCGGTACACTGCGAGAGATGCGTAGTTGCTTTTTCGTATCGAATTGACAATAAATGCATTACGAACGTTTGTTGTCTGAATATTCCAAAAAGATGTTACAGGCTTCAAAATAAGTATTTTGATGGATTGGATGCTCCTTGAGGCACGTGTAAATGCATGAGCCAGAGCAAGCTGAAACAAAACATGCAAGTGGGGTTGACAGTGAATGTGACAACTCATAAATTAATGTGTTCATAGGTGATGTCCATACTTTTTTTTTATACTATTGCCTTGTTTTGTACCATGAGTAATTGAGTAATTTTATTAATACCTGTAAAATCTTAAGCTTTGTTGTATGGCTGTACTTATCAACCGTCACAAAGCAGGCATTTTTATAGTCAACACTTTTAATATGTTATTTTTTAATCCACGAATAATGTCCACAAATACTAATTTTCACCCAAAAACTCTCGCAGTCTGGACATCACATATTGAACACCTGTATATTTTAACGAATCCTGAATCAGCCGGTAGTACTGATATACTACTGCCCAATTCATCGGTGCAGTACTTGCTGTTTTAGTTAATTTATTGTAACTTTAATTTCAGTTACCTAAGGAATACATACATAGAGTTGGGAGAACTGCAAGAGCTGGCAGATGTGGTAAAGCTATATCATTGGTGACTCCTTATGATATAACATTGCTCCAGAAAATTGAAGAGCATATACATGTGAGCTTAAAGGAAATGCAAGTTGATGGTAGGTAAATTAAGTGAATATTTGTGTATCTGACTGCTTGGAAAATTTATTGATATTTCTCATTATTTTTGTTTTTAGATGCTGAAGTCGGCAAAATATTTGCACAAGTATCACTGACAAAAAGTGAATCTTACATGCGGTTAGATGAGAGTGATTTCTTTGAAAAAAGTTTAATAAACAAGAGGAAAAAGTGGATCTTGGAGGGCTTAGATCCAGACGAAGAAGAGGCGAAATTACTAAAAAGTAAATTGAAAAACAAAAAACGGAAGAAACAGAAAACAGACGAATGTACTGTAAAGTAAATATATGTTCAAACAACATGATCTGATTTCAATCGAACCTTATCTCTGGAATGAAGTTTCTGTATTAATTTCCCCATCCTCGAGATAGAACTAATACTCTTATATAATAAAACAAGTGTTACAGTCACTTCTAATGGTGATGGCGCCATTTTCGCTTCTTGTATTTTTCCGCACCCTTACCTCTTTCCTTAAGCTTGCTACTGTAGAAGATATGGTTATGTGGGAACACCATGTAGATGTAGAAGAATCAATTAAGTCGCATAGCGTATTATTTTTTGTTTCTAGCATCTTCTGGTAGGCCTCTTTCAGCCGCAGGTGTTCAGTTATGAGGCAACCCTAGTTATTTACTCTATAGTGTCGTTTTCCGCATTTGAATCTGACCTTATACAATACCGCTCCGTGTCACACCCCATGGAATTTTTTGGTTTGTCAAGCGAGGAATTCCCAGTGATGAACCAATGAATACTGCTGATAATGTTGGCATGATTACGTAAAAAACGTATATAATGTTAAAAACAAAATGCCAACTTGCTGACTAGATAGTTCCTAGTGCGCAATAGTTCATTCCGCGTTTGCTCGCTATTAGCGCCGTGAGAGTCACCAAAAGCGTCATCTATGGAAGAATGACCTGACGATAAAACACGCTCAATGTCAACTCCCCAGCATGCTTTGTTGGTTGCAGAACGCCGAGATAGTCTGTAGAGTATATCTCTGAGAAGATATGACAGAAAGAAAATTGGTTGAGTACCAAGATCGCATCTGGATGGTAATTACGTGTATTGGTCAGCATATGTATTTAATCAGATATTTTCTATTTGAGAAAATTATTATTAAAAATGCTTCCCATGAAGTACCTATATCTATTAGCTGTACCAAACGGGCTGTGTTGACCTTTCTGAACAGAGGTTATGTTCAAATCTCTTAATCACAATTTTCCCCGGCATTTTTGCCTTTTCATAAACTTTGAGAAGCATTACAAGAAATCACCACCGTAGCCGCGTTGTGTGTAATTAATTAATTAATTAATTTGGATTTTCACTTGTAGTGTAATAACCTTTTGTACCATTTAAGTCAAGAAACGGAGGGACTAACACATAACATTAGCACACAAATTCTCACTTACCCTATTTCACGGGTATTTATCACGATTTGACGTCTACTGACGTGAACAGCTGATCAGCTTGTGACATACAAAATGAATCTCTAGCGTACAAAAAACCAAAACAAAATACGGCTCTGTCTACATGGCGTTGACGGATCCGTCAGAATTATCCTGTGCCGATATGGGGAATTTTTAGATATCACTAAATAATCGGCTGTCGATCGATACTCGTGAAGTAGGGTATATGCATCTATGCACGGTCGTTTCCTTTCAGCTGTAGTATTCAGCTTAGATCTCCAATGTCATCTCTGAAGCAGATGTTACATCACATCAGAGTCAAGCTGAAGCGTCATGATGCTTAGGCAATACGTACAGCTACAGAACGAGTGCACATCAAGTGAACAACAGCTAGTTATAAGTTGAATTCTTGTAAAAAACCTACATGATGTCGCAAAAAACCTATAATGTCTAAAAAACGACGTTGCTTTTCAAGATACTTAATACAATTAATTACAATTTTCCCCGGCATTTTTGCCTTTTCATAGACTTTGAGAAGCATTACAAGAAATCACAACCGTGGCCGCGTTGTGTGTAATTAATTAATTAATTAATTTGTATTTTCACTTGTAGTGTAATAACCTTTTGTAGTATTTAAGTCAAGAAACGGAGGGACTAACACATAACATTAGCACACAAATCCTCACTATACCCTATTTCACGGGTATTTATCACGATTTGACTTCTACTGAGGTGAACAGCTGATTAGCTTGTGACATTTTTGTGTTAGTCTGCTACGTTGGCAATAATGAATCGGGTATAAATCTAGTAAAACTTGTTTCTGGCGTTTTGTCTTTTGTATGCAAATGAACGAGCTTTTGGCACGTACAAAATGAATCTCTAGCGTACAAAAAACCAAACCAAAATACGGCTCTGTCTACGTGGCGGATATGTCAGAATTAGGTATGTGTCCTGTGCCGATATGGGGAATTTTTAGATATCACTAGATAATCGTTCTACCGAGATGAATACTCGTGAAATAGGGTATATGCATCTATGCACGGTCGTTTCCTTTCAGCTGAAGTATGCAGCTTAGATCTCCAATGTCATCTCTGAAGCAGATGTTACATCACATCAGAGCCAAGCTGAAGCGTCATGATGCTTAGGCAATACGTACAGCTACAGAACGAGTGCACATCAAGTGAACAACAGCTAGTTGTAAGTTGAACTCTTGTAGAAAAACCTACATGATGTCGCAAAAATCCTATAATGTCTAAAAAAACGACGTTGCTTTTCAAGATACTTAATACCCCTGCGGTTTAGTTTGTTGCCAGGAAAGCATCTGCTTTGTTTATATTTTTTGTCAAGTGGTGAGACAGCGAGACATGGTATATTTTAAGTCCACGTCTATTAGTTGGTATTTCCTATAAATTGAATTATTCGTGTATTTTTCAGTTTGTAACACGAGTGTTTCTTGCAAATGTCTTCAAAACGTTATGATCAGAGACTATGTTCACCCAGTAAGATTTCTTCCAAATACGAGTAGCTTGACTATACCTGCAATTGATTCGGCTAATTTTTTTAATCATAGTCCATTTTGGAAATAAACCAAATACATCTAATTGATGACAGAATTGCTTGGGAAATACAGAGCCAACCTACTTTTTGGCCCCATTTTTTTCTAAAATTTAACATGAGTGGAATTATCTGCATAACTATTGGATTTCGGATAACACATAATTCGATGACGTCTTCTATCAACTGGCTTCCGTTAATCCATCAGTAGCTTTACACCTAGTGTATGAATTAACTGTCATAACTCGCTGATCTTATGCATTTCCGGTTTTTCTAATGCTGGACTCAATCCACGGCGGATCGGTGTAATAATTCACATTCAAGATTAAATAATACCCGACAATAACTTTCTTTACGGAGAGGAGGTGTACATATTTCTTCTAAAGTAAAAGTATAGCTGGATACAGCTTTAAATAATACCCATTATTTGATGATCTCATTGTTCGTATTTCGTGTGAAAAGCGAAAAACTTAACACAATATCTTCGTATAGTGCTACTTCCTTTTTATATATGTAAATTACCACTATAGAAAAAGAAACTTCTGCGTCTATATGTACGCCTTCATAATGATTGTTTTAATCATTATTATACAATTCGTCTTTACGGAGGTCTTACAGATCAAAATAACTTGCTATGGAAATATTGTTGTGCTATCTGGCTGGTATTGTATGTTTGTGCTCTAATACAGGCATATTTATGAAAGTTGGAGCTTTCCTTTTCAGCTACGTTTAAGTTGACAGGTCCAAAAGTTATCTGTCCTCTTTTAATGTACCAGATACGATACCCTCGCTCATCGTCCCGAAAACGCTAGCAGTAATTAAAGCAAATCTACCAAAAAGTATGCACTGAATCTACGTAATTTGGGCGAAAAACTCTGCCTAGGCTTGGCGGCATCTAATCTATTCCAATTCGTTGGTGGGGCCAGAATGCTTAGTTAACTAGTTCTTCAATAAATTTTGATAACTACGCCAAGAAAGTTCATGCTACCCAGTTCCGACTGTCGGTTAGAGAAATGAGAAAATTACGTGAGAAGTACAGCTTATCACTATCCCAGTTGTCATCAAGACTATGTCAACTTCGGAATTTCAAACAATTAAAGTCGATGCATTCATTCATTTTCGAATATAAAACTGGCGATATTTGTACATTTATTATATGATAGAAAAAACATTAAATTACTTATACATAATAAAATTATATATTATTTCATGACTATTGTTAAGGATAAAAAAAATAACACAAAAAAGTAAAACTGAAAATAAATGAGACGTCAAGAAAAGATTGGGTAACAAAAAGCATAGTGAGAAAAACTAATAATAAAGAGAAAAAACTATATAAAGCACATCCAACCGATCAATAGAAGCAAGAATATTTAATGTAGAAAAATAACTCATCTGATTTGATCAAAAAAGCTAAGCAGGACTATTTCACTGGAATACTTGTTCAGAATAAAAACAATTCAAAAGTCATGTAGAAAACAGGAAAAAATTGCCTTTCCGAAAACCGACTAATAGTATAAGTAAGATCAATATTGGTGATGAGACACTGGATACCGACTTAGACATAGCAAATGCGTTTAATGACTTCTTCGCCACTATAAGAAACAAAATCTGGTTCTTAAACATTATACGAACCTTAAGAAACAACAAAAGCCCTGGTTTCGATGCTATTCGGGCTGAGTTAGTAAAATAAGTCGCACCTGAAATTTCTAAGCTTTTTAAGAAACCTAAATATACAAGTTGGGGTATGTCCAGATATTTTCAAACTGGGTATAACAAAACCTATAAACATGACAGGTGATCCTTTAAAAGTTACTAATTATAGACCCATTGCGCTCACTACCGTATTTGCCAAAAGGCTTAAACATACAGGCTCATGAGATTTTTTGAAAAACATAATCTACTCAATATAAATCAGTACGGATTCAGAAGAAACACTTCCACACAAGATGCAATCTGTTTTCTCACATCTAGATTATATAAACTGCTTGACCAAAGCAAGCCAGCTCTGTGTGTTTTTCTGGATCTTGCAAAAGCATTTTATACAGTAGACCATAATCAGCTGTTGGGTGTTTTGCAAGATTCTGGTATCAGAGGTAGTGCATTTAATGTACTGAAAAGTTATCTTGAGGGAAGAAACCAGATAGACCAGATAAATTCTACATCTCTCTACTCAAGGTACAGTTTTGGGTCCTTTGTTATTTAACTGATACGTGATCAGCTTACTAGATTCACAAAGAGAGGGAGCTGTCGTTGGTTCTGCTGATGACACCGCTATTCTTTATTCAGATGAATAATCGTGGTATAATCTTATGGAGAAGGTAGAAAAGGATTTCATTACAGTCTCTGATTGGTTCAATAAATGCCTCACTATAAATTACCAAAAAAACGATATTTATGTCGTTTTCCAATGATAAAAGAACGCTTCCTGATTATACTGCTATTAAGATAAAAAAATCCAGAAAGTACTCACGGAATCATTAACATACAATCTACTAACAAAATCGAATATCTGGGCGTACTTTTGGATTCGCACATGAAATAGATTTATCATATTATCTTGAACTTGGCACGTCTATTATTCAAAATGAAATATCTACGTAATTATCTGGATCAAAAGACCATGAAAATTATTTACCAAGCTCTGGTGGACTCTAGATTGCAATATGGTTTATTAGCTTGGGATGGACCTTCAACCGTTCACTTAGCAAAACTTGAGGTATCAGAAAAGCTATTTTTAAAAATAATTCATAATAAAAACAGACTATCCGTCAGAATAGCTGTATAGAGATGCAGAAACTCTAGACCTTCGGCAATTGTTTTCATTCAATACAAACATACGTTAGTACCGATACACTGTACTTATTCGACTAGAAACAAAATTAATAAAATAACCAGGACTCCTTTGTCTACTAGATAAATAGAACAAAGATGCTATGCGTATCTCGTCAGTCGGTATAACTTGCTGCCTGATGAAATAAAAAAATATCTTCGTTACCAAAACTTAAAAAAGATAAAAAAATGTTTACCTAAAAAGGGACAAGAACAAGTTGACAGAATTATAGAAAAAAATGTAAAATATTACACTTACCGATTTTATTATATATAATATAAATGTTTACCTTATCTATTGTTTTTTATTGATAAAGTTCATTACTGTTCCTTTGTTGTTTGTATCTTTAAAAAAAGTATAGATGTTTTGACAAATTAGTAAACCGTCGGTTAGGTTACTTTTATATTTCTGTTTTTTAGAAGTAGGTTGTTAAAATTAAAAAAAATGTTAACGCGTTGTATATTCTAATCCTTACATTTTATAGATATTCAACGTCATGTAACTAAAAATGTGCTTCTTGTGGTGTTGTATATGTTTATTGCGGGATATGCTTTTTTCTTTTGTTCCTAAATTGTATTTTTTCTTCGAGAAACATTATTATATATTACATATTGTAGTCCAGGATATCACACACCACGAAATATCTATGGAAGTTCAAATAAAAGGTGCACTCTAATAAAAATGTATGATAACGTGATGACGATCCAAAATCTATCCGGGTAGTCCGTATAATGAATAAGCAAAAACAATCCAAGATTGAACAGGTGAAAATAATGATATTGAGCTAAATATATCGCTTGTTAATGAGATATATCAATACCTTTTTAATATAACTTAAGCTGTTCTTCTCAACATGAAAATTTGGAATCGATGTTTTTGACAATAACACAACATCTATGCTGTACTTTTTAACTTATTATATGGCGGCAACCTATATATATTATATCGAAAAATGCAACATTGTCGTGTTTCTCCTTCTCAGAAATCCTCAATTCTCAATTTTTATGTATCACAAAACAGCTTTAGTCATACAGGAAAAACTATTTCAAAAACATCACTGTAACACCCGGTATCTTATCAACGGGAATGAAATTAACTTTATTCAGTTTAATCCAGGATTTCTTTTGGCGCATTCATTATGGACTACCCTCTGTGTTGTTACTGAAAGGATCCTTTGTATTCTTTTGTGACTAGGCGTCACAAAAATATTTGGTTGACATCCGGGACGAGAAACCATATTGTATTATACATAGCATAAAATTAACATGGACTAATCAGTTTTTTCTCATTTCTTTTGTTGGTGCAATTAAAAGCATTGCTTTATGAGCGACATTAATGTCTACTGTCTACTCAATCTTCACATCATTTTTTGTTTTTGTTTCGTCTGCTAGGACATGGCTTCAAGAAATTAAGGTCTATCATGACTTCGTTGTGCAACCCTCTGAAGATGATTCCGCAACAGAGTAGCTCTTTTTTCCAGTAGGCTGGATCAACGAAATCGCTGATGGTTGCCGTCATTTGCTCTTTGAAAGAACAGTCTCTAGTTTTCTTACATTTCTTATAGGTTTCTTCTTCACCGTCACTATGATTCAGAGTATCCGTCGAATCTGAAATTGCGTTAATGCGTCAATGCCGACTTCCATAACTTCAAATTGAAAAGACAATAACAAATGAATGCTTTTTCAGTATCAGTATCCAAATGTAATCTCGTGATTTTCTTTCCACCGTCCTAAATAAGAAAGCCGTCTGCGTTAATATCTGAAATTGAATCAATAACTTGATTCATTGTCTTTTTTACATTTTGTGATGTCAGCTTCCACGTTGGAACGAGGAGTGCTACTTTTTTACGCGGCATCGGTGGAAATAAAAAAATGCCTTTACTCAGAGGTGAATAAGAATAAAAACATTTTTTCTGCGAAAAAGCAGCAAGTACCATTACTTTAAAACCGTTCAGCTTAAATCCTCTATGAACGCAACTTAAAAAAATACAAAAAAATTACGAATATCAGAAAATCTCTACGCATAGCAAAAGTGCATTAAAATATCAATAGTGGTATTAAAATATCTGGAGTGGTATCATAGATATTATAAAAAAATATTTTCCATCGAGTTCCTTCCTACTCTGTAAGATTTAGGACGTTTGTGACAAACGTTCATATGAAGTATTTTCTTAAAATGCCTGCACACATCGCATCCTCAAATGTTTGACTTCAATTTTGAGTATGTGTTTTCACCAGTCGTGTGATTTATGTATTTCATTTTCAGTGAAATAGTAGTCGCAGCAGTAATATATTTTTATCGACTAGTTTTATCCAACTTGAGCAATTTTATCAGCAACCATTTGTCACACTACACACTGACTTTTGTAATGTAAATTTATCCTGTGTTTTTCATGTCCTTGATCACCATGGTGACCGAAACGCCGTACAATAAACAGAAATTAAACCATACCAGATGTGCAAAAATTCGACTCTCACATTAAGATCTCGAAAACTGTAGGATAGTGAAGTCGATTAAATCGGTAGAAGTACGATGTAAAAAACCTAAAAAACTTAAAACAAACCGACAATATGTCATCTTGCAGACTAGGTATTTTTTACTGTGCAAATAGTTTATTCCACGTGTGCTTGCCACGATCGCTGTTCGCTGACGTTTAGACAACACGTACAGCTACAAAACCACTTCACAATAGGTGTACAACAGCTTGTGCTAAGTCAACATCTTTCAGAAAAGCCTGCGTTATGTCACAAAAAAACCTAAAATATGTCAAAAAAAAATGACAAAATGTTAGGTACTTTTCAAGATACGTAATACCCGTGCCGGGCAAAGGTGCACATTTAGGTAACTAAGGCCCGTATCGTCAGTCGTTCCTACAATTATTGTAGCACGTGTTTATGGCCTCCTTGATTGTCATAGTTTTCTACTTTTCCGTGTCAGCGCTCTATTTTGAGGTTATGCCACAAATATCTATTTGCATCAGATTGTGCATATGTGCATGCTTTTGAGTTATATTACGTTTTATCAGCCTGAAATTTCCTACAATTTAAAAAGAAGACATATCTTCACAATAGGAGAGCGCTGACGCTGACACAACAGGTGCAATCTAGAAATTTTTGAAGGAGAGAAAGGAGTATGACAATCAAAGACAATCAAGACGTCCTAATAAAATAGCACTTGTAAAGTTTCGCAGTTCCTCGTAATTCCTGAAATAAATGAAAGAAAAAGAATTGTCTAATAATAATCGTTTTTATTTTTTCTTGACTATTTGAGATGGGATTTTAAAATATAAAGGTCATCATTATTGTCACTTTTTCTCCTCTACAAGTAGCATGCGCAACAGAGAGAGAGAGAAAAAGACGCCACATGCTTCACCCGCACTCCATGAGCTTAATCTAATATCTCTGGACTTCATGAATCGGATAAACTGTCATTTTCACAAACTATGACAATATTTTTTTCCTAAATTACTTACGTTTGAAAATGTCAATGTATGACATAATTATTATACATTTTTTAAACAGAATTAAAAAACTATTTAACTGTTCAAAATTGCAAGAAAAGATAATGTTGATGATTCAGAACAAGAGGCAAAACGTGATATTGAAATGCTAATTATGCCACCTTGTAGAGGAGAAAAATTGCTATGTTGATGTACCTTTTATTTTGAAATTTCATCTCAAATAAAGCCAGGAAAAATAAAAACGGCTTTGAGAAAATTCGATTTATTTCGTTCATTTACGAAAATATTCGGAATTGCGAAACTTCCTGTGGCATTTTCTTGGATACCTAAATGCGCAATGTTGCCTTCACTTAACCGACTTCGTATCTCTAGCCGTTTCCAAGATCCCAATAGTGAGAGTCGAATTTGAAACATCCTGTATATATTGTCAAAATCACGGAAGATGACTATTGCGTCATGTCATAAATTGTACTGAAGTAATCAATGGACGTGTAAGTCGGTGATAAAACCACGATGCCAGGAATATACTGACAACTGACAACAAATTTATATTATGATTTTGCGAAGTTAGGTTATTTCACTGATTATTTTTATTTTCATTTTATTTCATGGTTTTGAGTGATACCTTAATAATCGTCATCTTTCGTGATTTCGACTATAGTCAAAATCACGAAAGATGACTATTAAGTCATACCATAAATTGAACTGAAGTAATCAATGGACGTAGGTCGGTGATAAAATCACGAGTCAGAAACATAATGACAAATTGACAACAAATTTATATTATGATCTTGCGAAGTTAGGTTATTTCACTGATTTTTTTTATTTTCATTTTATTTCATGGTTTTGAGTGATACCTTAATAATAATTTTAGTGGGGAGTTTTTGTTTTGAAAAAAAAATAGTTATGAGTAGAATACCTTAATACAGGAACACCGAAGACCAAAGTATTATTCGAAAACAACATAACCTGCTTTAACATAACTTAACTATTCATCTTTCAAATATGATCGATCATGCAACATGAAAACATCGTCTATCTTTGTCGGATACATACAAATTAGTTTGTTTAGACAATAAAATTCTGTTTGTCTCTGTCTTACATATCAGAAACTTCATTAAATATATTCACAAATCGCCGTCGTTTGTCTTTACTACAGACTGATAACGTAATCGTCATCTTTCGTGATTTAGACTATATTTGGTATGATTAGACCAGACAATGGGGTCCTATGACACACTGAGTTTATTGGACTAGTAGAAACTGCGTATCTCAACAAATTACCTTCTGAAAGATAGTCGACATCTAAAAATTCACCTTCACTCTTTTCCGATTCCATGATTCGCTTCCTTTCCATTTTCTCTTTTATCTTCTCTTCTGATTTGGGGTACCACAACTGCATCTTTGTCTGCGAGAACATTTTTTCTCAGTCACTTGACAGTTTGTTTGCTATTTGAATTTGCCTTCGCAGCACTACTTGACAAATGTTGCCAAAATCCCGCAAATCGTTATAGTATGGTCAAATTGGAAAAACGATACTAGCGGGAATATTTTGCGACGCTCTCCCAGATCGTATTCACAAGTTACTGTAATTTATCAACGTAGATCGTTCATTTGCATAAATCTAATGCATTCCTCGAAATAGACAGGTATAAGTCTAATGTAATACCTATGTCAGGTAGTAGGTTTCATGATTGATTTTCATCATTGCAATATCTTGCCTACAGTTCACAGACGCGCAGCATTATCTTGCCTACAGTTCACAGACGGGGTCGGATAATCGGCACGGGTAACATGTAAAAGACCTACAAAACGACAAAAAAGACCTATAAGATGTCAACTTGCAGACTAGGTACCTAGTTTTAAGGGCGCAAACAGTCATTCCATGTTTGCGCACTAGGATCGTTGTGAACGTCCATCTATGGAGGAATCACTCAACTAAACTACGCATTATTGGTTGCATAGTTTTGTCAGGCTGAGTGATCGGGGTCTGTAGTTTTTATCTCTGAGAAGAAAGTTGGTTGAATACCAAGATCGCATCTGAATGATTATGTGTATTGGTCTGCATGTGAATAAAATCAGTGATATTTGCTGTGCGAGAAAATCATTACTGAACATGCCGAATATGACGGGTTATTTATATGTTGTGCTTTCTGAAGAGAGGTTATGTTCAAAGTTATAAACTGAGGAGAATTACTGTAATTACTGTTAGCATGTATGTAGCTTGTAATTCGACACTGTACAGTGAATATAATTATTTCTTAGCTCTCTCATTTTTTAAATTCAGCAAATTTGTATATGTAATTTCCAGAATGGATAAGAAAAAGTGGATGCGCAACTAGTTTCTAGCTTTGATTCTCAATTAAGTGTATTTGAGACAAGAAACCAATGTAATTATCATCAACACATACAACTTACAGCTTAGACCTCCAGTAATGCCATCTCAGAAGCAAATTTTACATGGACGTCAAAGACAGATGACAAAGCGACAGGATCGTTATTTGAGGCAACTAGCACTTAATGATCAATTTTCCACAACAAGGGCAGTTGCGAATTAGTGGTTTGGTGCTATCGGAAGGGCAATAACAATGGACAGTTGATCGCCGAATACGATCTTTTGGACTGTTTTTATACCGTCCCCAGTTTGTACTACCATTGACCCCTCAGCATCGTCGCCAACGATTGGTATGGAGTAGGGAGAAACTTGAATGGAATATGGAATGAAACTCAGTCGTGTTTAACGATGAGTCCGGATTCTGTTTGAGCACACATGATGGCCGCGCAAGAGTAGGGAGGAGACGCTGTGAAATAGCCATGGAACGGCACTGTGGGTGATGGGGTGGCATTGCTTACGGAAGCAGGTCACGATGAGTGTTCATTCATGATAAATATGTTCATGTTCTTTAATAGATATGTCACATGTTACTTTGATATGGTAAAGAAGCCCAATCAAATAAGAATGCCTTACCCTTTTTGTTGCAATTTGTCGCATTGCATTATTTTGTAAAATCTGTTTTGCAGCTTAGGTATATTCTATCATGAAGGAACTGAAGTTTATTGCTAACCGAACAATATTTTTTTTTCACTATTAACCCGAGAAATTGACAGCTATGCGGTATAGAGAAGTTGCTCTAGAATACAAACATAATAGAAACAAAATACAACAACTGACAATTTCATATTTCAAAATATTTAGTAATATAGTAATAAGTAATCGCGCCCCTTCTGGAATACCCCAAATTAGGAATAATGTTGGAGCAGCTTTGAATGTTAATAGGAGAAAAATATTTGTACCTTACTCCCATCAGATTTGCCAGTCCATACCAAATCGGCAGAGGTACGGTATTAAGTAACTTGAAAAGTGGCATTATGTCGGTTTTTTTTGACATTACATAGGTTTTCCTACAAGATGTTAATTAACTTGGGACTAGCTGTCGTTCACTTTATGCTCACTTGTAGCAAGCTCGGAATGAACTATTTGTACACTATCCTACTTAGTCAACAAGTTGACATGTTATCGTTTTTTTTTCTTTATATAGGTTTTTTACGTAATCACCCAAATTGTTAATTCAACACCAGTCAACTAGATATTTTATCCGATTTGTAAAATAAGTTGGAAATGACATGACCATGATATAAAATCAAGTTTTTGTGATATACAGCGCTTTTCAGAAACCCCCCAACTTATTTTCTGAATGGGTCACGTTTGTAAATCGAGAGGTGCGATAGAATATTTACTATTAATACTATTCTTAAAAATAAAAATTACAGTAGAAAATTTCAAGATGGCGGCTGGGCGGACATCTATCCGTCAACACCTTCTGCAGCATATTTCTCAAAACGGACAACGAATTTGTAGGTAATAAATGTTTTTCCTATCTAACGTTATATAACATGGTCTCAGATGGAAAGCAAAAAGGTCCTATTCACCCTTTGTTTGGTTTATGCGACAATTGCATAGTACGCCACGGCTGGGATGCGTTTGTAATGTAATACCGTACACAGTAATGAAATGTAGATTGACATTGACATATGAAATTTTACTTTGAAATACTCTGAAACTTAATTTTCAGATCGCCTAAATTATTACAGACTCATGTAAAGACAGCCAACTAATTTCTAACCACGTTTCCTGCAACCATTGTATTTACGAGTATTATCAGAAACGCTATGGATACGGTAGGTGGCCCATTTAAAGTGAAAAATATAAAGCGTGTTCATTTGAAAACTTCCCAACCCAGAGTTATCAGAGAGAGACACGTCAAAAGATCTGTCAAGGAGGACGACTTTTTAACCAAAAACTACTTTACCTCCTTCCAGGCCTCCCAGGGTCATTCCCCTAGAAAATTTAAATGACAAGGGGTATCGAGTAGTAGCTTGTTAGAACATTCTTCCGAAATCCTTTGTTTTAACGTTTTCGAGAAAAGTAGAAAAATCCTTATTTTTATCCTAATTTTTTGTGTGTGTCGTGATTACTCCCCTTACCTGAAAGCTTGGATGAACTTCGTCAACGCATCATCGTAAGCTGCCATGATATCCCACAACATGTTTTTGAAAATGTCCGTCAAGAATTTGAACATCGCCTATTCCATTGTTTGACCAATAACGGGAAACATTTTGAGCACTTATCGAAATAAAAAAAATCAAACGTAGAATTAAAGGACTTCGAAGGACCTTCCAAACAAGCTATTACTCGATACCACTTGTCAGTTTTTGAGGGGATTACCATGGAGGGCAGAGGTATTCAGTGGTTTCCGATAAATCCGTGGTGGAAGTTTTCAAATGAACACCCTGTACTGTATATTCTGCCTATTTGATCACTTTTGAATAACCAAATAAAGTGACTAACAACGCGGATTTAAGCTTAAGCTTAGTACTTTTGACATTCCAGAAGGATTAACTTATTCTATTTCTGAACGTATGAAACAGGTAGGACAAACAATTACGAACGCTAAAATTTTACCGAGTAGTACAAAGTAACTGGTAGGATGGTTCCCCCATTTGGCTAGTGACCTATGATAGTGGGCGACAATTTTCCATTCATCGAGGAGGTTGTCATCTCAGAAATGCCGGGTGGCGTATGTGGTTACGGGCGCACCGACTTTGTCAATTCAAAGCAACGCAGAAGTATCTTGCGATGTGTTTTGCTATTCTCCTTCTTTTCTATACCAGATTATAGACCTATACTGGACTGATTGCTAACAAGCACAAAACAATGTTGTATACGTTGGCCATGGTGATAGAGACAAAAAGCAAACAAATTATATTCAGCCCATTGCTAGGTCATATTTGAGGAATACATTACTTAAACGTCGTTTGACGTCTGGTATCTGGGCAACCAGACCTGGCAGACCTACCAACCTAGGGTGCTTTAACAAAGAGCAAAGGTCCAACGGACCGCCCTGACGGGCAATGACGAATAGAATAATTACTTCAACGCCTTTTTATCTAGTAAGTAGGTGCTAGACGACTTTTCCACAACCTCAGGAGGGGAGAACGCAAGAGCAACGTAAGTGAAGTTCGAAATCAAGCTAAAGTCGAGTGGCCGACGATTTGTTTTTGGTGATGACAGCGTCTCTGTTTAATTGTCAAGGATTTCTATAGGATTTGATAACTTTCCTTTTAAATAAAACGCAAACCATCTGAGATAACTCGAAAATTTTAGTATATATTATAGTATACTCAAAACATTTATGTATGGAATTAGACCTCGTTCATATGTCCACCACAGGCACGTTCGCAGCGCCCAACTAGCAATGTAGTGCTATAAGCTTTTTGTAAAAGAACCGTTCAGCCATAAAAGCTCTCTATTGTTGTTGCCTGAACACCAAAATGCTGGCTTAATGTTATGTGGAATGCAAATTTGGTTTCTGCAACATATTTGCTCTAAAATGAGGTGTTCAAAATATTCTGATATCATAGTTATACAACACCTTATAGGACAAATTTTAACTGTTGCATAAACGTTTATACAACTATACTAAGTGACATATAAATCCGAACACCCAGTTTAAATGGTTTTATTTTAATAAAATTTTATATAAGTACTTAATGAAGCATAATAAGTAAATGATAAAAATTTCAAAATGATTTCACTGCTTTAAAGCCCTTTGATCTTTAATAATGTGTGGATGCACCCTGATGTGCTACGCATTCTCCAACGCGCGTAGGCATGCTTCTGATCAGGTGGTCAATGTCCTCCTGTGGTATCTCATTCCAGGCAACCACCAACTCCTCTCGAAGTGCTTCTAGAGTCTGAGGAGGACGTTGCAAATTGAGCAATCTCCTACCCATCATATCCCACACGTGCTCAATTGGATATAAGTCGGGAGATCTTGGTGGCCATGGTAACAATGTGACATCATTATGTTGAAAGAAGTCTATTGTGACTCTTGCAACATGTGGTCGGGCATTATCGTGTTGGAAATTTGGATATGCCAGGGTGTCAAGATAGGGTAAAAGATGGGGTTCTAGAACTTCGTGGATATAACGCTGCGCGATCATGTTACCTCTGATGAAGATTAACGGTGACCTGGAACCATAAGCTATAGCACCCCAAATCATAACTCCAACAGTGTGATGAACATGTCTTTCAACAAAAAACTGTGGATTCCTCCTTTCACCACGTCGCCTTCTAACCCTGGCACGACCATCGTGCATGCCTAAACAAAGTCGAGACTCGTCACTAAAGACACTACTG